CGGCCAATTTTCTGCGCCTTCTCGCGTCTGCCGTATCAGCTCTCGTTCCCGCTCGTAGTAAACTTCTTGCTCTTTAACAACGAGTACGGGAACAGGGCGACACTTCTGATCTACCCTTTTGTACCGCCTTTGTGACCCATGCCTGAGCCCCCCTCTAAAAAAGGTCAAGTTGTACTTTGTGGCTGGGCTCCAATTGTTCCACCTATCCTCCCCGGCGTTCGGTACACTAATTTCATTTCCCCTTCTCCCATTTGTTCCATCACCTTCTCTCTCAAGGCTTCCACAGCCTCTGGGTCCGCCATCCCATAGGTCGATACTATGTCCATAACATCACCTATGCTCGCTAGGCTAAGGGTCAGTGCTTCTGACTCTCTTTCCTCTTCAATCTTACTGCCTCTAAGCCTCAACCTTTCCTCTTCTGATTCTTCAATAGTGAAAGAACCAGGGTTGGGCTGGTTCCTTATACTCCTAGGCCCCGTATTCTTGCAAGTGACAACCTCATAATTGCCACATACTGGATCACACAAAACGAGGAACATAGTCCCGTCATGCTTGTTAAGTATGACCTTCTCTGTTTGGCTCAAGAACGATCTACCCAGTAGAATGGGGTGATCAAGATCAGGCATTACGAAAAAACAACTCCTTACTTTTACCTTCCCAATTTTCAGAATCACTGTCGATGCGGTCCCTATGAATACTAACCGACAGTTTGCCCCCATCAAGACCCCATTGTCAAAGCGATCTATTTTCATCCCTAAGCGCAAAGCATGCTCCTACTTTATGAGGTTCATTTCTGCGCCACTGTCCACCATCGCCGTGCAAGTCTTTCCCTTTATCATTACATCAAGACACCCACATTCGACAAACTTTCAATCCATCTTCGTACCGGTCTCTGCCCATTCCGCCTCTTTAGGGATTATGGTCCCTCATTGTACACTGACCATCATTTTTCTAGATAATCGCGCTTTTAGCTCATCCCTGAGCCTTGGCGCCAAAGCCAGGACGTCTTTTAGGTTCATAAGATGATTATGGCCCTAAAGGATCCTGTTCATTATTTCCTCCACGTCAAACCCTTCCTCCACTTGGACAGCGTACTTCTTTTTCTTTCCTCTTGAGGCCTTATCCATATCAGTTTTGGCGCCTCTCTTTCTGGCCGTTTGCTCGGCCTTCTCGTCCTCTTCCTGTCTCAATCTGTCGTCGTCTTCCTCTTCTTCCCCTGGAACATCTACAACCTTTTTCTCCCCACTAGGCTCAGGAATATCTTTTGCCGCCTTCTCGGGGCTCACCGACCCCTTGGCCCTCGTCCTGACAGCTTGCGGTGCCTCCCCGATCCGGAGGGTGGCCTATAAGCCATTCCGGACCGAGGCGTCGGCCCTGAAGTCGTAACGCCTGGTAAGTTTTCAGGCCCTCCTTGCGACCCTGGACCCAGATCATAGAGATACACCAATGACTTCTTACCTTTCCACTTCTTAACCTCGTCACACATATCGTCCAATTTTTGCTGGTATCTCCCGACTTTAGCCACTAAGTCCTTCATTTTTTTCATTGTTTGTCGCGCCTCCTTCCAACAGTCTTCCTCTATCTTTGTTTTTCGTGTCTCGTTCCAACAATCTTCCTCTATCTCATCATCAGACTCTACCACGATCGGCTCTTCTTTGATGGTGCCAACGTTCCTTTCTTGCTCTACCTCCTCACTTTCTCCTACCTCTTCCACCCTTATGTCACAGCGAACCTCCTTCTCTTGCCAAATCCGAAACATAGCCGGAGGAGCGGGCGGCATGCTGGCCTCAACTCGTCGTAGGGCTTCCTTCCTCGTTCCGCCAGGGGTCTTTGGGTTAATGTAGTACCCAAATTTGTCATACATATCCCCATCATAATTGGTACTGATCAACCCTTCATCTTCGTCGTTCCTTCAGACATGGCAAAATTTGATGGTGTGACCTTTCTGCCCACAATGCCAGCAAATGACATTCCTCCAATCTATCCTTCCTCTACCAAAGCCTCGTCCACCCTCCTGACTACCCCAACTTCCTGACGCATTCTAGTCCCCATTTCCTCCTCCCGGGAATCACCACCACCATTTCCCCTTCCGTTTCCTCCGCGGCTACCATTTCCTCGCCCCCGGCCCCATCCTTGATTTTATCCACGTCCGCCGCTTTGGTTTCCTTGCGGTCTTTGTGGTGTCGACTGTTGAGGTTGGCTTGGTTGCGGGCTTTGACGGTTTACTTGTTGAGACTAGGGCCCTGAACATCCGCAGGAAGCCGTACTCAATGACGCTCTTGCGCATAACCCATGCGGTCCACTTACCAGCCATGGCATGTATGGACTGTACCCAGGCCAAGGACTTGGAGGTCCATAGCCTTACCACGGCCCATAGGGTGCAGACGTGGCTTGACCATGCGATTCAGGGGGTGGCAGTGTTGCTGCTTGCGGGACTTGACCCTTCCATGAGCCTTGCACCCCTTGAGTCAAATTTTTTGCCTTCCTCTGAGCTTTTGTTAGCTTTAGAGGCTCAGAATCCTCTTCCTCTTCTTCTTCCTCCTCTTGCACCACCGCCTTCTTTGCTTTTCCTTGGGTCTGTGGTGCCGCCATAGCCTTTCTCGCTGTCTTTGCCTCCTTCGCCGCATCGAGTTGGGCTACCGCATCCTCTACCATTTTCTTGAAGTTTCGTCCGTTGCTCGTCGTGGCATCCAAAGCCTTTCCCTTCTTCCTAGCCTGTCGCATTTGGAAAATGTCCACTTGGTCCAATTCCCCATCTATCACACTTTATTTTATAGCAGCCCAAGTCAACTTCTTCCCTGACGCACCTTTCTTGGTCAGCGCAGAAGCCTCCCAATTAGTGAAGTGGCCCAGGAAGGTTGCGCACTGCTCTTCCTCTGCCATCCCTGAGACCTTTCTTGCTATCTTTTCAAACGCCGTTGCGAAAACCCCTACGGTAGAGAACGCATCCCTCTGTAACATTTATAGGTCTGCCTTTGTTAGCAGGCTATCCCCCAACATGAAACGCCTTTGCATCTCTCCCTTGAATTTTGCCCAGTCTCCCCCTGCTCCAGCAGCCACCTTCATTATTTCGGGCCGGATTTCCCACCAGATATATCTGGGTAATAACTTAAACTTATCTTCATCAGATGCCTCGCCTGTAATCTGTTCCAGCAACTCTAGCTATTTAGACACCCTTTCCCCTTCAAACATGAAGATGTCAACTTTCAACACTTGCAGTTGTGCCAACTCTTTTTTTTCAATGACTTTGACAAAGTCTTCCGGCGTAGCAGCTGGGCCTCGCTCGATTCCATCTGCGTCCGGCATCTTTATATCCTTTTGCTAACCAACCTGATAGGAAATAAAAAAAGATAGCCCATCAGACAACTTGTCAAGTTCCAAGGGACTTGTCCTAAGTCATACCGAGCCGTTTCACCTCTAATGTTCAACTGATCACTCTACTACTAGTTATTCAACGCCTTAGATACAAGTCGCACTCCTAATCGCTTACTCCTATAAGTTTACCACCAGTGTTATATCTTTCATATCATATACGCTTCTCTTATATAAGACAATCCAAACCATAAGTTTTGTCGTTTTGCCTAGATCATCAGCCTGCACTTAACCTGGGTTCGTTCGCTTAAGGACCCCGGTAGGCAGCCGAGATCCCCGACAACGGTGCCACCTGTCGAGCGCATCGGTCCCGGACGGGGACCCTCCCGGCCGCGTCACACAGGATTTCGCAGGACTTGCCGCGGAGAGCGTTTGTCGCTCCGGCCGAGTGCGCCAGCGGTGCCTCGCGTGATCCTGTCCTGTCGTAGGGGCTCGCGAGAGGTACGGCTAGCGCACTCGGCCGGAGCGGCAAACGCTCTCCGTGGCAAGTCCTGCAAAATCCTGCGTGACGCGGCCGGGAGGGTCCCCGTGCGGGACCAATGCGCTCGACATTGCAGCCTTAGGGGTGCGAACTCCAAGAGTCTGTGTGAGGTCTCGACTGGTGCTCTATTCACTATGTTCATGGGACGCTGGACCCGGTTTCCAGCAGGTGCTGCTCCGCACCAATAGTCACGAGCATTCTGCTGTAGGTCTACTATAGGGGGATGCGCATATCACCTCCTTTAGTAGGGTGAAGCAGAACATGCTGGGGAAAAAAAAAAGAGTGCGTGTGTG